GGGGCCAGGAACTGCCGCTCCTCCTCCGTGATTCCTGCAAGTACAAGACAGGTCGGTGTGACACCACGACAGCGACCAGCACCCCGCTCAGCGACACTCACGATGCACACGTGTTCACGGGACCCAGCACAAGCCACAGTGCACAACGCCAAAGGGTGACGGCCCGTTCGAAGCCGGAAACAGGGGAAGGAAGGAGGAAGGCACAGGGGTGCGGAGTGCGTGCTGCTGACGTGTTCCCTTTGTACTGCGCCGGGCACCCCACCTCCTCGGGGCATCGTGCGTGTGTGCATGTGTGGGGGGATCAGGAGGCATCCATCCTTTTAGGGTTGTCCAGGGCCCCCGGGGGTGTTTTAAGGTCTGGGGGCCGAGGCTGCCACACTGCCCATCTGAAACGAGGCAAAGGGCGCACAGGCTGAGGGCACTGCGGCGCTGGTTGGTGTGACAAGAAAGGTGCCACTGTGTGTAGGGAGCATTAGAGGGCCGTCGTCCTGCCCAGGTGTGCAGGGAGGCCTGCCACCCTTCAGTCTGCCACCCATCACTCTAAGACGGTCTCGCCCATGTGGCAGGAACCCATTTTGTTGCCTGCCTTCTCCAGGCCACCTGAGGGCTTGAGGGTACTGGAGCCCCTTGGGCCCTCCGGACGATGCCAGAATTACTGCGGGGGGGTGGCGGGGGGAGCCAAGAGCCTTAGGCTGGGCTGAGGGCTGTGGCCATCACCACAGCTGTGGTGAACCAGGGCCAAAGCTCGGCTGGCGTGGCACGAAGTCGATTCGTGCTCTAGGACGTGAGCCAGCGCAACCTGTGGATGTGGATGTGGGTGCGCCGAGGGCCTGTGGTGGTGACGGCGGGCGTCCCAGCTCCGTCGGCCCCAACAGTTGTGTGTGTGTGTGTTGAGTAGGTGATATTTTCAGACTGTTTCTGACAGTCCAAGATATAAACACATCAACAGAACGCACTCCAGCAGACGGAACGACACAGACATGGACGCCGACAGACGTGAAGTCACGTGTGTCCCGTCGGAGGCATGCAGGTTTTTCAGAGAGGTGACAGAAGGCATCACTTCAAATCAAAAAGACTCCTAGAGCCAACTACAACTTAGTCCAATGAAAGTGCCCATTCGATAAGGGTATTCCAAATTCAGCTACTCCTTGTGGGAGGCGGGCATTTCGGCATTGCAAAGATGGGTTGCTGACAGACCTTCCCCGACTGTTTCACGTGGTGGTTGCCTGACAGTTACGTTACCAAGGAGTAATGATTTAAGAATACACCTTATAGAGTAAACTGGGTTACATTCCAATTAGATTCCAAACCGTAAGGTTCACTAACCTGATAGAAAGATTCTGCTGTCTGACAGGAGGAAATCAATTGTTATTAACCAGTTAAAGAGCCAGTGACACAACATGGCGTCTGTGCTACTCTGCGAGGCCGAGCAACCGGGAAGGGAGAGTCTTAGCAACAGCAGACGCGGCGCCCACCATCACGGATTGTTCAGTTACTGCCTCAAACTAGTGACCAGGAAGCCACGAGGCGTTTCCACAACATACAGAGCAATGTCCCCAAGGGCAGACGGGGCTCCCGGGTGCCGCTCACACTCCTCTGTCTACATGGCAAGGGTCCACTGGTGTCCGGCAGTGGCCTTGACCTCTCTGAGAGCTTACATGGTAAAGACAGTGCTGGATTATCTCACAAGGGGACTGCCTGAGGGTCACGGTTACCCTGCCTTAACAGTCAGTAGGAACCGGTGACATTAACAGGAAAGGTAACGAGTTTGCTATGACACACAGTAAGGACAGTTCTATTAGAATTTGACAACCTGACCCAACCACCCTCAGAAGTGTGTCCACTGAGCTCACCCTACAAAACACGGTGGTGGCCAGCAACGCAGTGGGTGGGGGACACAGTGACATAGGACTCACTGCACCTGCCACTCTGACGTGAGGGGCAGGGAGGGGGCTTCCCGGACCGCCCGTCCGCCCCACCCGCATCCCCTCCTTCCCCCGCCATGGAGCCCCGCCCCCTCTGGCTTCTCACGCACAGCTTGGCTTGCCGGGCTGGAGAAGCCACCCTGGGCATTGTGTCCAGGGGTAGAAACGTTTCAGACCGCTGGGCCGTTCAGAGTGCTCCCTGGTGGGGGAGGCTGGCCGGGTGCCCGCCCTCTGGTGGGCGGCCTGGGGGTGGTTAGGGGGGCACTGCGAGGGCTCTGAAAGCTAAGGGCAACCGCTGCGGGGCGGCCACGCTTCTTACCTATTGATTTCTGCCTTCGCATCGTACCTCGAGGGAGGCCCAGAAATGGGCCTTTCGGGCTTCCGGGAACAGTGGGTGTCATCACGGCGATCCCCTGGCGTTCATACACGGACTGTGAACCAGAGGGTCTGGGGTGAGATGCGCCTGGACAAGCCCCACCCACAGAGACCAGGTGGCCCGAGACCCTGGAGACACGCACCCTCCTCCTGTGGGGCTCGGATTTGGACTCTGCATCTGCACAGCATGGGGTGTGTGACCCCAAACTACAAGGTCAACCATCTCTATGCACGCTGAGCTGGGAGGCCTGCCTGCTTCCCTGGTCCCCGGTCCCCAGGGCACAGCCACGTACGTTCATGTCCGAGACCGGTGGGAAGCACCGGCTGGTGGGCCGCTGCTTGATGGTGGCCACCCTGGACTCCACGGCCATGTTCTCTGCCGTCCGGGATGGCTTGGGGGCGGGGACTATCTCCTCGGGCTTATCTGCAGTGTGAACACGATGACAGAAACAGGCATCAGTGACTGAAGCCCCCAGGATAGACAGAAAACGCCAAAGGGCCTCTGACCTGTTAACCCCGCATTTAACAGCCCGGCCTCCAAACTGTGCAGACGGGTGCTGGTCACTGCGGGCGGTGCACGCATGCTTCTCTGCCACATGCATTCACAGCGACACGATCTGTTCCCCAAACCCTCAGCCCAGGAGGGAACACATGGACAAGATGGCCCTCAGCCGCCGGGGCCTGGAATGCCTAAAAGTCCTGTCGTCCGTGGAGTCACCGCATTCATCCTGACAGCACTTAACTAAGTGTCCACCGAGCCGACGCTTGGACTTGTTAAGAGCTCAGAGGTGTGGTCCTTCTGTGGCCAGACGCAAGTGCCAGGGTCTAAGGGTCTGCCAACCAAGGCTGGAGGCCATGGGACAGTGTGAGGGAGCCTGGCAGATGTCCGAGCCTGGGCTGTGTGGCCAAGTCCCCACTGTTCCCCTAGGCATGGAATATTCTCATTTCTTTGTGACAAAGAACACCAAGGGTTATTAGTGATCCCTACAAATTGAGAAAATTTGTTTTAAAAATTGAAATTGAAAACATTACATTCGTTTGAGAATGTGAAAACTGAAGCCGTGGCTCGGGCCACCTGATGCCCTGGCTGTGTCTGTAGACGCCTGAGTCCAGGCACCAGGGGCCGTAGGACTCTGGTTCCCCGAGACTCATTCTGCCCCGTGAGGGGCCACGGGGTTTCAGCAGGAATATCCCATTTAGGGCCTTGCGAGGTGCAGCACTCCCCTTGTCCCCCGGGTCATCTAAAACATTCTGTCCTCAAGCCTGAGGTCTTCTCCTAGGCAGCCTCACCCATTCCAGGTCTGGTGACCACGGTGAAGCTCACGCTGTCATAAAGGGCCGGGCCTCTGGGGTCTCGCCCAGACCCCCAGCTGTGAGACTGGCATGAGAGGCAGGCAGCATCCAAGACCTCCAGGCCGCAAGTTGTTCCAAGAACCATGATGGCCACTTGTAACCCCCTGAAGAAGCCCCCCAGAGCCACAGCACCCTCTGAATCGCCCAGACCAGAGGCACCAACGAGGAACTGTGGGACGGGGAGGGGGTATGCCCACCAGGGCCACCCCAACCTCACGGGGCACCCACAGGCAGGACTCTGACATCCACGGAGGCGATTTCCTGGTGAATCCCTAATGAGAGCCTGCCTCCAGCCCCGGTCCTGCATCGGGGTGGACAAACTATGGCTCGAGGGCTACACCCGCTCTTGTTTGGTCCTTGGCCTGAGGACAATGTTTGCATTTTTAAGGGACACCGATAGGACAGGAAGGAGAATGTGCAACAGAGCGCATGTGACCCACAGCCTGAAATGCCTGCCCACGAAATGCTGAGTTGCTCAGGCAAAAGCATCAAGGGATTTTCCCCCCGACACGAGTTCTCAGACCCCGCCCGTCTGTCCCATTCCCTCGTCGGCTTCCTCCCCATGGATCTGGGACCGCAGCTGTTCTGGCTTTTCCCGCCCCTCAGGGAATTGGTTAGAAACACCCACCCCTGTGCTGCCATGGGCAGCGGGGACACCTCCAGCTAAGGTCACTGTCCCAGCTCCTCGCCCCACCCCATCGGCCAGGCCTCGCCCCCCTTGACCGCTGCATGGCCCAGGGTCCTCTCACGGCAGTGGCTCAGGTGGCACTCGGTTGACCTGCTTGGTAATCCGTGGGGGACCCATGGGTCTGCGTGGCCCGTCCCTGGACGCCGAGTCCATTGAAGTGGCCGCTGGCCTTGCTTCAGCCACGTGCAGGGCAGGGAGTGGGGTCTCTTGGGTGCTGAGGGTTTGTGCCCAGGCTCAGCTCAGCCAGGCTCCCCTGGGGCCGCCAGGAACTTGGACCCACCTGGAGGGGACAGTGACTGGAGCCCAGGAAGACACCCTGGGGAGGCGCTGCAGATGGACAGCTCTGCTGCGTAGCTGGCCACGTCTGAGCCTGCCAAGGTGTGAGGGACCCCCAGTGGGACGCTCTCCTGGCTGGATGTCCGAGAGGCTGGTTTCTAGCTGGACTCTCTGAGTCCGTGTCTTTGGTGTTAAACCTCCTGGAGCTGATGGGGTGGTTCACCCCGCCCCCGGCATGCCGAGGGCCCCTTGTGTGGCATCCCGGAGAGCCACCTGGAACCTTCTCATGCCTGGAACGAGCAGGCAGCAGGCTGTGACCCTGGGCCCTGGAGCACGTGGCAGGTGCCCTGAAAATGCCTCAAAACACGGGCATGCCCAGGCGAGGCAGAGGCATGGTGGTTAATAACAAGGATCCCCGGGCCTGGTGGGACTTCTAAGGCCTCTGTCCCGTGTCTCTTCCTGACAAGAACCTGACGTGTGTGTGTGTGTGTGTGTGTGTGTGTGTGTGTGGCGGGGAGGATGAGGCCCATTTTGCAGAGAGAACAGCTGGGGGGGTCAGAGATGCTTAAGGCCTGCAGGTGGAAATCTGGGACCAGGTGGGAGTGTGGGTGAGAATTGGGGTCCCCAGCCTCTGCGCCCCCACCTCGGGCCAGGATGCCAAGCCCTGGGGGACAGTTACTGTCAGAGCAGTCTGCCAGGTGCAGCTGACTATAAAGGGGGGTGGGTGCATAAAGCCAGAGCAGTGTCTGCACCAGCCACACTGCATGGAGAGGGGCAGGTTTGGGGTGTAGCTGAGGGTGTGTCCCCTGGATCGGGGGCCACCTTGTCTGGTTCAGACCCTTGCCCTCCTGCCTCCACTCCCCCCAAATGTTCCTGTGACCGAAAGCACACGAGAACACTCTGGTTTGTGGGGGATGGTGTCACTCTTGCTCCCTTTTTGGTGAGTGCGGTCTGTGTGATTCAAATGAAAAGGGGGACAGCCCGCGTCGCTTCCTCACGGCCGCCTGGGTCCCTTCCCTGCTCTTGTCTCAAAGGGAACCTGGCGGCCGGACTGAGACGGCTCGGCCCTGTCTGAGGGTGTTTACTGGCTTTTAGGAAAAGTGGCGACACTGTGCGTTCCTGCATCTCATCCTAGACTTGAGACCATCATCACGCCGCCTTTATAAGAGCCTGGAGTTGGGTCTGTATTCAGGGGCTCTGGGTGGAGAGCATTTGTGAGTTCAGCCCCCTGCAGTCTTCAAACGAGGGGCACAGTGACTGAAGACAACCCTGGAAACCCACTTGAGAACCGCAAAGCTTACAGTCTGGGAGCGAGTTGACGAAAATGCTCCAGCAGTTCCCCGCCTCCGGAAGACAGGCGTAAGGCCCACTGTCCACGAGCTGCAAACTGCCTGGCGTGGGGACGACTGTCCCCTGGGGGAGGTGGTGGGTCTGTCAAGCATGGTTGGGTCACATGCAGCCATGTCTCTCTTGGGAACCAGAGCAGGGCGGGTGTCCTGCACAGTCCCCCACACGAGTCACCCAGTGTCCAGATGTCAAGGTGAGAAGGCACAGAGTGGGATTCCCTCCAAAACACAGCTTCCAAGAGGAAAACACGGCATCAACAGCAGATGTCACGACAAGCCGCACATGTGGGAGCAGCGGCCTGGCCAGCTGGTCCACCTGGTTCATCTTCCCGGAGGCAGCCGAGCGGTGGGGCGTGGTGCTGAGCGCAGCACAGTTCCCGGCCCTCGGGCTCCGAGAAGTCTCACGCCTCCCCAGGGACAGGCCTGACGGTGCAGCCAGAAGTGCTGGTGGCCTGGAGGCCATGGTGATGCTGGTCCCACCACCACTGGCCCGGCTTCTGCCTAGAGCCGCCCTGGGCTGGTGTGGCTGTCGTGTCCTATTCCCCTCAGGCCCGAGAGCAGGTGTCTGGGGACTAGAGAAGGTCCTTAGGAACCGCCAGGTTAAACACAGGAGTCGAGGAAATGAAAACTCGCGGACTTTGTCACTTGCCTGCTGTCACTAAGCAGGAGGCAGCTCCTAGCTGGGATCTGAGGCCGCTTTACTGCCGAGACCAAGTATCACTAGCCGGGTGGTTTAAAGATACAAATTCATCCTCACTGTCCGGAGGCCGGAATTCCGAAATCAAGGGGTCAGGAGTTTCCAAGGGAGGGTCCCTTCCTGCCTCTCCGGCTTCTGGGGGCTTTGGCCGCGTCTGTCCAATTTCACATGGCTTCTGTGTGTCTGTGTGTCTGTCTCCCTCTCTTGTGAGGACACCCGTCACTGGGTCAGGGCCCATCCTACTCCAGTATGACCTTGTCTTGATGACGTCTGCAAAGACCTTATTTCTAAATAAGGTCCCTTTCACAGGTTCTAGGTGGACATGAACTTTGGAGGACACTTTTCAACCAGTACATCCATAAAGGCCAATGTCCTCCTATTCCATGTGGCTTTTCTGGACTGTGATGAATGCTTCTTAGGACGCTAGGCTAATCCTCCAGGAGAGACTGGCGGAGGCAGCGGACAGGGCCTGGCGAGTTCACTGCACACCTACTATGTGTCAGGCGGCACTGGACCCCGCAGCCCCCACAGGAACTGGGTGGGCCATGGCTGCTGGGCCCTTTGGGGTCTTTTTGCCCAAGCACTGCCTCCAGTTCCAGCTGGGGTCAGGGACTCTGGGCTTCCCAGGACTGTCTGTCTGCTGTGTGGGTTGTGCCCTGGGCCCACCTCTGTCCTCATCTTCTCTGACAGCTTGGGGTATCTGGCGGGCTGCTGGAGGCATCCCTGGGGGAGGCGGGTGGGGGCATGGCTGAGGGGCAGGCCACAGAGCCCCGAGGCTCTCCTTGACGATGGGCTTTCTGGGCCAGCTCTGTTACAGGATGGGTTCTGGGAGCCCACGGAGGAGTGGACAGAGAGGCCATTCCCGCCAGCCAGGGGTTGGCTTGGACTGAAGGGAGGTCAGAGAGAAGTCGAATCTTAGGGGATTTTCTGGGCCCTGGGCACCCACCACGTGGCTGACACTGGCAGTGCCCTGGCAGCCCCTGGAGGCTTGGAGGCCCAGGACCGCTGAGAGGAAAGGCTACTAGGCCTGGCCTGCACCTGGGGACACCACTGGGGGCAGAAAGGAGGCTCTCCCACCTCGGTGCTTGCGGACCCATGACCTGCCCCAGATACCGCTGTGCTGGACCCAAGTCCAGTGATACGGACACTGTGCTGTGCCTCAGCGTGAGTGCCCAGGGCTGTGGGACAGGTGCCCTCCTACCGCCCCCTCTGGAAAAGCAGCTTTGACTCGATAGTGTTGCTTTTCATTGTTGGGATAGTTGTCTCTAGCAGCCAGGTAAGAAACACCTCAAAATGTGGGTGCTGCTGAGGGAGAAGCCCGAGTTGTTGGGGGCACGCGTGGGGCCTGCACCCTTGCTGCTCACAGCAGAGTACAGCCGGTCCTGTACCTCACGCCAGCCCCGGGGAGGGGCAGGGACAGGTGTGGCCTTACAGCTCCCTCCTGGGCTCCGGCTCAAAGACGGGGCTCCTGCAGGCCCCCTGGAGCGCGAGGGGCTTCCTGGGAGTTCCGGGGGGCCATCCCTGCCCCACGGCAAAGGGGGCCCGTGGTCAGGCTCCATCCACATGCCAGACGCCCCGCCTGCCTGCACCCTGACCAGCAGCCACACAGGCTGCCCGCCCCACAGGGTAGGCCCAGCTGTGACAGCCCGAGGGGCCCGGGGGCTTCACAGTCATGATGATGAGGACACGTCTCGGGGGGAGGGGGGAAATGCAGAACATGTTGGGGGGAACCACAGATGGGAGAAGCCAAGCAGACGGAACAGACTGAAAGGGGACGCATCCTGGAGCTGGGGCCCCTTCACAGGACCCGGCACAGGGAGAGACAATACAAGGTCACGGCACATTCGAGACACCACGCTGACGGCCACAGAGGGTGTCTCTTCCATGGGGTGTGTGGGCAGGGGCTGGAAACAGACATGGGGCTGTCCCCTTACCCTTCCTTTTCCGGACGGAGGCTTGCAAACAGAAAGGGGCGCGTGAGTCCCATGACGGCCGTGCTCACCCAGGGCCTGGGGGCGGGGCCGCTCTGAGCCTCAGTGTGAGGGGCCCCGACATGGGAGGCGGGGCGTCTGGAGCAGGACGTACCAGCCTTGGCTGTCCCGGAAGCCAGCGCCCAGGGCCTTTCCCTTCCCCGCGCGCCCGGCCGCTGAATTCTGCTCCCCTGCGTGCGCCTTCCCTCTCGGCCCCCACCCCTCCCAGCACCCTGCCAAGTGGAAAGTGGGTCCCACCAGGGCAAGTGTGAGCTGAAGGGCGACTCCTGACTAAGCAGGCCCCACACGGGGAGAGGGGGACCGACCGTGCAGCACCTGTTTGTCCAGGCCAACCTCGCCGGAGCCCCCCCATTAAAGGTAAAGTCCTGCCGGTCCCCCTCGGGGAGGCTCGCCGCAGGCCCTTTGGGGAGCCAGCGTGGCCCAAGCCGTCTCATTTTCGAAGAGGTCGTGCAGTTATTCCCACTGTCACCCCATCAGGTACCACAACAGGGGGACGGTGAGTCTTGTCAAGGGTGGGGCCAGCAGGAGAGGGGCTGGTGGGCTGGGCCGCACTGCAGCAGGGGTGCTCTTTCCTTGAAGGCCTGGGCCTGGGCGCCGACCCGCAGATGCCAGCCCAGAACACAGTGAGGGTGAGGGGTGCTCGCCAGGAGGCGGCCTGGGGGGGAATGGCGGTCTCCCGGCTCCACCGTGTCCACGTGGACGGAGTGTACACAGAACCCTCCCAGAGGTGCTGCAGAAAGGAGGGTCACCCGGTACCTTCCTGGGGGGCGGAGGAGGGGAGGGCCTAAGGTTCTCCCCGTGAAGGCAGGGCCAGGTGGGCGCCATGGCCAGGAAAACGCCCATTAGGGGCACCCAGATTCCAGCCCCCGGGGCCGGCTGGACCTGACAGTGGGTGTTGGGCTCAGGGCGAGTGCCAGGTGACCTGCTGGGTGCGGAGCTCATGGATGCCCCGCCTCCCGGCCCAACCAGCCCACTTGTGCTCTCCGTGGAGCCAGCACTTCCACCCACTCGTCACCTGTGTGTGGGGCAGTCATCGTCCTTCCCAAGGTGTCCCTGGCAACCCCCCAATATGACATTTAACCAGCATCCCAGAGGCTCACACCGCCAGCTCCAGGGTCATCCCTGTTTTCAACAGACACCATGGGCCGCCGGACCCAGGACCGCACTGCTCTGGGCGTCTGTCCCCACCTACGTGACAGGGTCCGGTGGCCAGAGCCTCTCTGCTCCTTGCAGGCCTTTTGAGAAGGTGCCAGGATACCCCTAAGCCTGGCGGGCAGGCCACCAGGCCCGCCAACCCCACCGCTGTGTGAACCCCCTGGCGGAGCTAGTTGGTCTGAGCCAGGCACAGGGAGGGCTGGCCAGGGGGGTGTCGGGGGGGGGCTCACCAGTTGGGGGAGCTGTCTGGGGGACACCATGGGGCAGCTTACCTTTATCCACTAGTGAGAGGCCCAAAAATTCAAAACAAAACAATGTTAGATGAACCAAGAAGAGAAGCAAAACCAGAAGCCCCACCCGAAGCTGGCAGGTGTCCATGGAGAGGCCAGCAAAGGGGCTGTGGGGCGGGGGGCAAGCGAGCACGCGCAGGGCCATGCGGGGCGGGCGGGCTTCCCGGAGGCACAGGGCTGTGGCGACTCTTACCGAGCTCCTCCAGCTCCGACGTCATGGACTTGGAGCGCAGCGTGAGGGCCGTGGTCGGGGCGCGCTTCGGAGGCGGGGGAGCTGCAGGGCAGACAGGAGAGACGCGGGTGTGAGGCCGCCCCACCCCACCTACAAGGACAACCCGGCAGGTGGGCAGCCCCGGGCCTGCGGCTTTCTGCCTGGAAGGCTGACAGGTGTGGGGAAGCCGGCAGCGGTCACCCTGCTGGCCTGAGGAGAGTCACGAAGCTGGATGTGTCTGCAGGCTCCACTTGGGCCGCGATGGCTCAGGACCAAGCAGGGGGCTCAGATGGACCCTGGACAGGCCCTCTCGGGAGGCCCCAACCCCTCTGCACTCCATCCCCCAGTCACACCAGGCACTCAGGGTCCCTGCCCTCTTGCGGGCGTGGGTCCAGGCTGGGACACTCAGTGGGAGGCGCAGCGGAAGTCTGCAGAGGGGTGGCTGGTCCAGCTCCCTCAGGTCCGTGTCTGCCAGTGACTAATGGAGACTGACGGGTCTGGCAGCCTTGCCGCCCAGGCCGCTGAGGACGGTCTCAACAGGGAGGGGATTCGTCTTTGTCCCCCTGACCTGCCACAGTGAGGACACAGGTCTGTCGCATGTGCCGACATCCCTCACCCAGCTCTCCTCACTTCTTCACCCACAGGCTCCCCTCCCGCCGCTCATGGCCCCCTCCTCCAGGCAGCCCTCCCTGGCTGTGCTACCTGCTCTCTCTCCCGAGCTCAGGCTGAGGGCTCCTGGTGGGCTGGGTGGGAGGGGACGCACCCTTGCTCTTGTTAAATGCGGGGCTGCTGGAAGGACTAACTGCCACTCTGGCCTCTTCCCTGGCAAGGAGACCTGGGGGTGCCTCTGGCCTGCCCCCCACTCCCCTGTGTTGGCCTCAGGCAGCCCCAGTATCCCCCAGCTACGGCCTCCCTCAGGAAGGAGCATGGGGTGGGCAGCAAGCTCTGTGAAGCGGACACGGGGACCTCCCCCTTCCACGGGCACAGGCTGAGTGCTGGCGAGACCCGTCGCAGTGACCGAGGGACAGCCAGGTTGGGGCAGGAGCCCCCCAGGACCCCTCTGCTGAGCACAACCCTTGCCTGAGGCCACTCCACGGGCGAGCTGCAGAGTCCTCTCCTAACCTCCTTTCTGGCTTCTTTTCCTGTTCTGAGGGGGCCTGGACCCCCACTGGGAGTAGATGGGGGACACACCTGAAAGTGCCCCTGCCCGCCCCCAGCCCACCCCTCCCACCAGCGGGGTGTGCGGCTGGGCGAGTGGGGGTGGGACAGCACGGAGCAGGCACCTTTCTTCCTGGCGGTGTCGTCCGGGTCGAGATTCCTGGTCACCGTGACCACTTTGAGGACGAGGTGATTCCCTCCCTGACGGATCATGTTCACCACCTGCCGGTGGCCCACCTTCACGACGTTCTCACTGTTGACCTGCAGGAAGATGGCGGCCATGAGCCAGGAGGCGCAGCGCCCCCCAAGGGGCAAGGGCAGGTCGCAGTCAGAGACTCGCGAGGTTTTGGAACCAAAGGTGCTCTCAGGAAAACGGGAAGGAAACCAGGACCCTGCGGTGGCTGGCAGTGTCACCATGAGTAGGTGGCCGGGGAGCTGGGAAGGGCTGGGGCCATTCCCCGGGCACAGGGCACTGTCCCTGTGGCAGCCGAGCGGGCACCCATGTGTTCTTAGGTGCTCACTTGGGCAGACCCAGGGGCAGTGTCCTGGCCACCTGCTACGGGATAAAAGCCGGACAGGAGGCTTGCAGGGTCTGGCCTGCAGCACCCCGCTTTCTATTTTCACAGCCGGGAGGAAACACACTTAGTTGCTTCTCACACACTTCGGGAACGCACATCACACTGACACGGCCCACCTCCTCTGGGCACGCCCACCCTGCTCCTCACCCACTCTGGACCCCGGAGAAGGCATGAACTGTGGCTGCCAAGGTGCCAAGAGCAGCGCGTCCTCTGCCCTGCTGATGGCGGGGGCACTGTGCTCCAGGGACCCCCATGCTGCCCCCACAGCAGCTTTTGGGAGTTCTTAGCACCTTTCAGACCCTGTCCCCTCCCCTTACCCCCGTTCGTCCCCACTGTGGTGAATACACGTGGCACAGAGGCAGAAACGGACGCAGTGTGACGTCCTGCAGGTAGCGGCAGGGCTGGGCCGCGAACCCCGATCCTCGGCCCCTTTGTAGCTCACAGAGCTCAGTCCGGCTGCAGACCTGCTCTGTCCCCCGTCCCACCCCCACGGCTAAATCAGAGCGGTGACGATGGACCGGGCGGTGGGAGCACAGAGATGGGAGAAGAGAGCTTCACCCCGAGCCAAGCCTCCCTCGGTCACAGGTGTTTGGGCGCCACTTCCCGGGCCCCCTGGATGGAACCTCTCCAGGGGCTCTGGCCCCTGCCGTCCCCACAGCTCCCGGCTCCTGACCACTCTGGCACCGTCTCTGAAGAAAGGAAACCACCCGATTGTAAGGAACACGTGAGCAGCAGTGCCAGCCACGGCTTCGTTGTACTTCTTTCTCCCGCCGTGGACTCCTTAAACGCCTTTAAAGTCCAGTGTGGCCACAAACACAACTTCACAAGGTTCCGTGCATTTCCACAAACCTAATCCCCGTCTCATCAGCCCCTGATGGGAAGCGTGAGGTGGCCAGCACCCCACACTGACGACAGGCACTCAGGCGAGCGGGTCTGTTCCGATGGCGGTTCCAGGTAGAGACTCGTGTGGGGCCCACTCGGGCAGCCGTAGGGCAGCCGTAGGGCAGACTCTGTGCTGGGCACGCTGGGCAGTGGGGCCGCGAGGGGGCAAGGGAGGTAAGGAGACCAGGATCGGGGCTGGAACCACTCATGGCTTCCACGGGGCGAGGAGGGAACGCAGGGACAGGGCACTGCTCCGTTTCCCGCCCGAGCAGCCCCGAGTGTGGGGGGCCACGCAGACGTGGGGAGCACAGGACAGGGAGCGGCCTGAGGCCCCGGGGAGGTGGCCCAGCAGCACAGACACCCTCCAGCTGCCCATCTGCGGAAGCTTCCAGGTCAGCCCTGTGCGAGCACGTGGGGACAGAGGCGAGGACCCTGCTGCAGTCGGGCGGGGACCAGCTGCCCTGCTCAGGACGGTCTCAAGTGCAGGCGTCGGGCGGGGCTCAAAGAAAGCCAGTGTCCCCTTATTTAATCCTGCCACCCAGCATTGTGACGCTCAGGGAGACACGAGGCTTCTGGGCTGGGGGCACTCAGCAGTCAGGCCCCTGGGCAGTGCTGTCCACTGGGGACCTGGCCTCTGACCTCGATCCAGCCGTCCTGCAGCCGCGCTGCGGCCCGCTGACCCTGCAGCCTTGGGCCCGACTCCCTAGAGCCCTGCTCCTCTGGAACCTGTGTCTTCGTGTTCCTGGCAGGGGGATGTTGTCCTCCCGTGACGCTGGCCAGGGCTGGCCTTGGCCACACGGGGGAGCTGACATTTGTTCTTATGCCTGGGGAGGGGCTGTGCACAAGGGCTGGAGTCCCTTTTGCCTGAAGTGTCAGACACTGTGACTTAGGGACTGTGTTTTGTGAAAGGTTCTCCCAAGGAGTGAGTTGCTAATGGTGGGTTTTCAGGACCTCAGTGACTCCAGCACCGTCCATGTCCTGCAGGCCCCGCTCGCACGACGGCACCACCCATGTGCTGGGCAACCTGTAGTGGCGCACACAACCTCTCTGTGCCCCAGCTGCCTGGTCCATGAAATGTGGGTGATGAAGATCCCGCCTCCCGGAGTTGCCGTGAGGACTGGAAGGGCCTCCAGGGTCACCTCATCGAGGGCTGACCCCCAGGCAGGTCCCCTGTCCCCAGCCTAGCCCCTCCGTGTCTGAGGGGCCCTGGCCCACCCTTTCTGAGACGCTACTGTCCCCCGCTGAGCTCCTGATGACCACACCAGGGGCGACGGGCATGGGAAGCGGTGTCTCACTACCAGCCCCATGGGCAGGACCCCAGCAGTGGCAGGAATTGCTGGGGAAAGCTCAGAGGAAAAAGACTCTGACGGTCCCCGGAAACACTGCTTGGCCTTCTCGGAAAACCTGATGACAAACAGGCTTGACCAGCTCAGCCAGGCTGGGGCTCAGCTGGGGGTCAGGAGTTCTTGGTTTTCGGATTCCCCTGGGATCCCTGAGATCTGTCTGTACAGACAGAGAGCACACCGCGGGTCCCCATCGAACTGACCCCGGGCTGGAAGCACCCCTGGCAGGGAACTCGGCTGCACTGCACAGCCTGTGCCTGGGCCTGACCGTGGGCTGTGAGCACAGCCAGCCGCCCATGACATCAGGCTGGGAGGGTGGGGGATAGGATGCCACGGTCCTGTTCTCAGGAGCGATGGTGCCCTACGCCCCAGCTCTGCCTGCCTGGCTGGGCACAGAGCACCCCTCCTGGCCCACTGCCCACGCAGCCCTTTCCTCTGGTCACCCCCCAATGCCCCATCGCTTCCACCCCAACCGCCCTCGGGGCGGTCATCAGGACTCAGTCCAGGCCTGGCCGGACCCTGCCACTGATGTGCTCTGGGTGCGTCTCCTCATGTCCCCGACACACCTGTTAGGGGCTGAGCTGCAGCCCCCGGATTCATAGGCAGACGTCACCTTAGGAGGTGACTGTGTTTGGAAACGGGGTCCTTGCAGATGATGGAGTTAAGGTGAGGTCATTAGGGCGGGCCCTGATCCTAAATGGCTGTGTCCTTATAAAGAGGGGACCGGGACACAGACACACTTGTGGGGAGCGCTATGAGAGGGTGCGGGCAGAGATGGGATGACGCCTCCACAGGCTGAGGCGCGGCAGCAGCAGCAAACCCCGGGAGCTGGGGGACGCCGGGCCAGACGCTCCCTCATCGCCTCGGAGGGGCCGGCCCTGCCGCACCTGTCTCAGACTTCCGGCCCCCAGGACGCGGGGGAATGAACGACTGTCGTGTAAGCGGCCCGCCCGTCCGTGGTGCTTTGCGACAACTCCCTCGCCTTGCTCCAGTGGGCGGCCTTGACGCCCCCAGTGGCCTCAGCTGCAGGGCCCCTCCTTCTTGGAAGCCACCCCCTCCCAGACCCCGCAGGGCCCTCTGGCCAGGGCCTCTGGGGACTCCATGGCTCACTGACTCGACTCCTTCCTTACACAGCCCGGAATCGCGCCTCCCTCCACTCCGTCAAACCCAGCCCAGTTTCCCGGCCACACAGGCGGCCACCACATGAAGCTGGGACCTCACGGGACAAACCGTGGCTGTGCGCACGTCCCAGTCCCTGGGCTGGGGACTCAGGGGAACGGCCCGCTATCCTCTTCCTCTGCAGTGACATGTCCTGCCCCAAGCTTGAGGCAGGTGGAGAGGAGTCAGCAGGTGAGTCGGTTTTGGTTAAAGGGGTCCGCCCAGACCCACGGAGGTGGGACTCGCAGCTCCAGCCGGTGCGGGGCAGCCCCAGAAGCTGCTGCCGCAGACCCAGCACCAATGCCGGGGGAGTGTTGCGAGTGGGCCTTTGGCAGCAGGGAGAGACAACGCCGTGGGAAAATGACAGCAGGAGCCTGGGTGGGGACAGGCTGTACTGGCAGGAGCCCTTTGGCCCAAGGATGCGTTGGAACAGAACTCCCCACCCCTGCCCCACAGAGGCTCTACCAGAAACCCTCCCTTTTGGCGGGGCCCTCCCTGGACCCAGAACGTGGCTCGCTGAGCTCACCAGGACGACACTGTCTTTCCAGGTGCCCCCATTTCTGCGCCTGGACTCAGGCCCTGCCTCCCTCCTCCTCTGTCCCGGGGCTGAGGGTGCCCTTCTGCAGAAGGAGGGGTGCCCTCCAGGATGGGGTGCTGGGGCAGGGCCCAGGTTCCCACCTCCCTCACCTGCAGGGGAGCATCTGCCTTGGGAGCATCACCTCTGCTGAGTCCCAGAAGCTCCTCCTGGGCCGGACACGCATGGCTGGGAGCCACACTCCCACCGCCTCCCCTGCCCCATGAGGACAAGGGTGATGCCAGTTCCTGGACAGAGGACCAGCCCACACAGTGGGCGACAGCGCCACAGAGCCGGCCCTGACCGCCGGCCTCACATTCTTCTCTTCCCCCAGCCTCCCCTCAGCCACGCCCGTCCTAAATTCTCATCCTGCTTTTGCCAAGTAAACAAGCTTCGAATGGAGTCTTTCCCCAAAAGCAAGAAGCCAAGGTCAGAGCCGCAGGCTGTGTAGGCTTTCGCGGATCAGCTGCCGGTGTGCAGGTGGGCACTTTGACAGTGAGGGCACAGAGGTGCCAACTGGCGTGTGCTGCGATGCCTATAAATACCTTCACATGGAAAAAGCTGGCAAAGGCAAAAGGTACCGCAATGCAACCTTGAACAGACGAGACCAAGACTGAACAAGGCACGCTGGGAACACCCAGCCACAGTCCCCTTCCCAGTGCGGTGCGGACTTAGCAGCAAAGAGCAGAGCCATGCTTCGAATTTCCCAGCCTTTACACCAGCTTA